AATCTCTAAAGAAATTACAACAATCCAACAGGAAATTAGTCCCCAAATTCAAATTTATATAACACACACTTAAAGACACATTGCAAAGGTGCAGCTCCACTGCACACTGGGAACTAGTCATACAAGACAAAGTGCTGGACCCAGAAGGAGCTTTACTGGCCACATGCTGGCAGGTTGGACAGTGGTGGCTGCATGGTCTCAAAGCCACCATCTTGCCTTCAGGTCCACAAGAAAGGCTTTTACAGAGATAGAGAATAGGGGGGCATGTTTCTAGGGTCAGTGGCAGAACAATGGGCTAATTCCCCTCATGAGCTGGTCCCATGAACTATCTATAAACCTAACAATGTTAGTCCTTTGGGGAAGGACAAAGTGAGGAAGACAGTTGTTTTATTTAGGCTTTGGAGGCTAGGACAGTTGTGTAACTGATCTTTGGTTGGTTTCAAAGACTTAGTGTTAACTTAAATCCTGCAGAGGACATGTGGCCAGGAGGAGGAAGTGTAGAGATTGGCAGGAAGTACAGTGATGGGTGCAGGTGGAAGGGCTGGTGAGATTCTCGGGGCACAGTGCTGATCAATCAGGTGAAGGAAGACTAGGAAGTGCCTCCTGCTGCAGGGCAGCTCTACTGGGCACAGGCTACTGGGCAGAGTTCGCCCAGAGCTGCTATTCTCTCCATGTGCATTCACAGGCTGGGCAGAGCCCAGGAGGTAGCAGTATTGGTGGAACCTTGGAACACATCTCACAGGTGTGACCACCGGAAACTGGTGGCTTGAATGCAGCTATTTTAGTTTTGGGGGCTTACCTGGTATTGCTCAGGCCTTCTCCTGGCTCTGTGGCTCAGGGATCAGTCCTGGCAGGCTCAGGGCACCGTATGCAGGGCACTGTATGCAGTGCCAGGTATTTGAAACAGTTGGCCATGTGTAAGGTAAGTGCTTTAACCCCTGTACTAGCAATTCGGCCTAGTAAGTGCAGTTTCTGTTGCAAATTGTCTTGGGAGGCCACATAGGCAGTGCTCAGGGATTACCCTGGCTCTATGGTCAGGAGTCACTCCTGGCGGTGTACTTTGTCTAGATCATCTTTCAGTCTTAAATATCTTAATTTTCCTTATGGGTGTCATTTCCCTTCTACCTTAAGCACTTCCTTTAGTAACTATAACTACAGATCAGGCCTCCCAGGAATGAATTCTCATTTTCCTTCTCCAAACAATGATTATTTCCTAAAGGCATTTTCTTCATGGGATGTAGATGTCTGGGCTGATAGTTTTTTGTTTTGTTTTTTTCATATTTTTTAAAAAGAAATGTGCCAATACTTCCTGCTCTTCATAATTGAGGAGAGATCCAGTCACCAAACCATTGATGCCCTAGAGATACTATGCTGTGTTCTAAATTTTTTCGAGTTTCAAGTTCATGGTTGTGGATCCCTCCGGTCTTTATTTTGGGCTTTTGGGGTCACACCAAGTGTGCTCAGGATTAATTCCTGGCAGTGCTTGGGTGGACCATATATGTTGGCCAAGATCTGAACTGCAAGCAGTGGCATGCAAAGCAAGTAACCTCTTATTTTTTGACAAAATTTGGGATGGAGACAATATTACTTTCAACACTTTTCAGCACATTTTTCCTCTTTCTGCCATGTCAATGGCATAAATACTAGATCTTTTATGACCGTCCTGAAGGCCCCTGTAGCTTTGCACAGCTGCAGACTTTCCTCTGCTCTTAGATCTTTACAGTTCTTAAGTTGGTTTACAAGTTTATTCTTTCCTTCCTAAGGTCTATTTGGTGAGATTTAAATTTTGCTCAGCATGTTTTCAGTTCTAAAACTTCCAATTTCATTGTATTCTTTGATGAGATTTTATTTTTTTATTTAAGTAGCACAGCAGTAGGGCGTTTGCCTTGCAAGTGGCCAACGTGGCCGACCCGAGTTCGATTCCTCTGCCCCTCTCAGAGAGCCTGGCAAGCTACCGAGAGTATTTCGCCGGCATGGCAGAGCCTGGCAAGCTACCCATGATGTATTCGATATGCTAAACACAGTAACAACAAGTCTCACGATGGAGACGTTACTGGGCCCACTCGAACAAATCGATGAACAATGGGAGGACCGTGACTGTGACCATTTAAGTGATCATGTGGGTGGAGCGATAGCACAGCTGGTAGGGTGTTCGCCTTGCATGCGCTGACACGGCTGACCTGAGTTCGATTCCTCCGTCCCTCTCGGAGAGTCCGGCAAGCTACCGAGAGTATCTCGCCCGCACAGTAAAGCCTGGCAAGCTACCCATGATGTATTTGATATGCCAAACACAGTAACAAGTTTCACAATGTTACTGGGCCCACTTGAGCAAATTGATGAACAACAGGAGGACAGTGACAGTGACACTGATCATGTAAAAATAATTTTGGACGACCACCCAAGTGGGGTTCAGAAGACCCTGGCTCTTCAGTGCCACTCAAAACTAGTGCACTGAGGACCACAAAGGCTCCCACACAGGTAAGGCAGGATCTGTACATCTTCCCTGTGCTATATACACTGTTGAGCAGAGATACATTTCCCTCATTAAAAGACTTAATATTAAACATTTTACAGCCATTACTGCAATAAGGCATTATAAACTAAAGACTTAATATTAAACATTTTACAGCCATTACTGCAATAAGGCATTATAAACTAAAGAGGAAACATTAAGGATACATAAAATATTAAGTTTTCTAAATGATTTTAGATGAACATATGGGTTTACTGAATTGGGCAATTAATTTCATATTTCATTCGACTGAAATTATTTTCAAATACTTCCAATGTTTTCAGACGGTTAATATTTTATTATTCTAAGGAGAACAAAAAATATCCATTACAAAATGCCAATATTGCTCCTATTCAATGACTTAAGAGTTGACAGTGGCTCCACCCACCACACATACACACACACTATATACATTTTATGTTTTGTGCTTTTTAGGTCATATCCAGCAGTACTCAGAAGTCACCCCTGACCATGCTTGGGGGACTGTATGTGGCGTTGAAGATGGACTAGGGCCAGCTGCCTATAAGAAACACCTCAAACAGTCTCTCTCCAGCCTCAATATTTAAAATAAAGATAGCTATCAGCAATGTTTGGAAGTTCTGTCCTCTAAAGACAGGAAGTCTTTATAAGAAAGTTAAACTATATCACAAGAGCTTGCTACAAGTCAATCTATGTGTATGATTGTACTGTCTAGAAAGACTTTCTATAAAAGGGAAAAAAATCCACGTATGTCAAAAGGTTTTATGATTGTGTTGCATTATTTATGATTTTTAAGACAGACAAGTTTTAATGATTCAATGTTGTGTAGACACAGACACAAGTTTTAGACTTTAGGATTTCAGTCCCCGGCGGCCCCCTTAAGCACCCTCAGTGGGGGAAATCTTGTTTTGTTTCCCAACTGCCAAAACTAGCATTGAGTAGACAAACTCAGAAAAGATAGACACTAGAAATTAAGACAAAACTTTAGAGCTGTTTTCTTACACCCTTTCCTGAAAAACAATCTAGCAACTGCATTGGGCTTTACTGTGTTCCAGGCACTGCTCTAGGACTTTAACAAACTCATTAACTTAAATACTATCTGTTACTCCAATTTCCAGAGGGATTTTTAAAAACGGAAGTTTAGAGGGGCATCTTGTCTATGTTGACTGTGAGAGGAAGTTGGGGAGCCAGCACTACACCCAGGAAGCTGGCTTTGGACTCTGTTCGGTACTACTCTTTGGGAAGCTTCCAGGACCCAAAGAACCCAGAGGCCTTTTGCGTCCTTTCCGGCAAGATAAAGATGGGAAGTGGAAGGGCTGGGGAGAGGGCTCAGAGGGCTGGAGTGCAAGCTGTACATGCCAAGCTCCAAAACCCATCCCTGGTACCACAGTGCCCCAGCATGGAACTGGGAGCAGTCCCCTACACCTCTAGGTATGGCATACTCCCCCAAAATAAATGAACAAACTCTGCTTCCTACACCATGTAATATATGAAAAAGAAAATATCTCTCCAAGACCTCAGGGATTCCATTACTCGGAGGCAGAAGGGGGAAGGGGAAATGTGGACAACAGGGAACAGGGGATGTGGACAGGGACAGGACTTTTTTTTTTTTAACAGAGAAAGGGCTGGATTTTTTTGGGGGGGTTGGTCTTTCCTTCTCTCTTTCCTTTTTTTAAAAAAAAATTTTTTTTTTTATTAGTGAGACACCATGAGGTACAATTGTAGACTTACAAATTTTTGTGCTTGGGTTTCAATTATACAATGATCAAATACCCATCCCTCCACCAGTGCCCATTTCCTACCACCACGGATCCCACTATCCCTCCCATCCCCCACCCCCCCATTCCACCCTGCCTCTGTGGCAGGGCATTCCCTTTTGTTCTTTCTCTCTCTCTCTCTCTCCTTTTGGGTGTTTTGGTTTGCAAAAGAGGCAATGGGTAGCAATCATGTTTGGTCTATAGTCTACTTTCAGCATGCTTCTCCCATCCTGGGAGGATCCTCCCAACACCCTTTATTTGGTGCTCCCTTCTCTATCTGAGCTCCCTTTTCCCATAGCATGTGTGGCTGGCCTCCAAGCCATGGAGCAAAATTCCTGTTACTAATCTCGGCCATTCTTGGGTGTTAAGTCTCCTATTTTGTTATTTTATGTTCCCCAGGTGAGGGACAGGAGTCTGAAACATGATCTGAGGTTATTTAAGAAGACTTTGTCATCAACATACACTAAGGTATCTGAAAAGTCACACATGCACAAAATATAAAACTTACACTATTTAGAATAACTGTATACTACATATCACTCACCGAAGGATGATTATTGAGAAACTAAAAACTTCAAGAGAAATTTATTTATATAACATTTTATTTACTGACCTCTCTGACAAGTAAGTCATCTGGGTAAATGAAACTTTTCATGTCAAAACATTGCCTAATACAAGTTCCTAATAAAAAATATTTTAATGTAAGAATCAACATGTAAATATGACATTTAGGTAGTGAAATTCAGGTAACGAACGGGAGAAAAATATAGTTTAATGGAAAACATAACATTGTCAGCCATGCTTAACCCCGGGGTTAAGTACAGAAAGGAGGGATCAGAGGTATGCAAAGGTCAAACAGTTCAAATGATCCTGAGCCCTTCTGAGACACCATAGACAAGACATATATGGCAAATATTTCTATAATATTTTGTCTTCGGTCCATCAGCGAATCATTCTTTTCATGCATTTAAAATGACTACAGCTGTTTTTGAGGACTGAAAACTGATTCCAAGTAAGTCTGCTCAACAAATCCCTCATATTAAAAAATATAGTTTAAATTTGAAAGGTTTAACGCATACTTGTCTTCATAATTTTTATAGAGGTCACACCACTATATGCAGCTGTTGTGTGGTTAATTTCAGTCAACTGTTTTATATTTGTTGGTCATCATCTGTATAAATTTTTTGCTTTCAAAAATATTAATTCAGCCAAAAAAAATTAAATTCTCTAATACAGATAGAACTGGCTTTTCCTGATACCCAATTTTCAAATTACTAATACAAATCTACCAGAGAAACAGTTATAATTTTGCCCAACATTAAGTAATCAACAATAAGCTTCCAAGATACATGCTTTTCTTATTCTAGTTCCAAAAATAAATAAAGGTTTTCTTGCTGAAAGCATTTACATTCTTAGCTCTCTAAAGTAAACATTTTTTTAAAAGGCCTCCCAAAAGCTATTTCTAGGCTTTTGAATAGCTCACTTAGTTACATAAAGTATTTTCTGTCCCAGCACTTTCTCAAATTCAAAAAGATATTTATTTCCTAAGAACATGGCAGTCTTCATTTCAAACCGTTCAGTCCGTTTCCATGGCAACACTGCGGGATTCCTTGGCTACCATAAGCCTCATTAGTTGACTGTGGAATTTCTCAATCTTCTTTACATCTTGAGCTTGGTCTGTTCTATACACCAAACACTGTCAGAAATGTGAAAGCACACATTAACCATGAAAAACTAGATCACTGAAAATTTAGCAAACCTGTAGGTAAATGAGTCCTTCCCACTAGTGTTTTACTATGTTGCTTCTGCAGGTCACACTAAATAAATCAGGCTTAAGTTTTCAAGCCCTGGTAACCACGTTCGAGTACTCTATAGAATCTTTAAACACAATTCTTGTGAATTAAAAACTCTCAGAAATTTCTCAAAAATGACCAGTTAAGTATTACATCAAAATGCCCAGTTAAATATCCAGCTGTGGAATATTGAAAAGAATTCAAGGGTTAGTTAGAATTAGATATTTTCTCCCTGAGTGAGATTAGTTTAGAAACAATTCAGTTATATTAGAAAAAGAACAGAAATCTTAAATCCCTTATTCCTATTTGTGAAGTTGAAAAGGTGGTGACAATAATTTAAAATAAAACCAAATATAAAAAAATAAAATAAAACCAAATATACCTGTCAAATCTTGATTTTCTGAAGGTATTTACACACACACACATGTACACACACTCACACGGCATTTACAATTTTAAATCAAACTATTTCTTGCCATGTTACATTTATTGGCTATTCATGAATTTTAAACAATAGTAACTAACTGCATAGTTACAAAGAGCATTCAACTTTACTGTGCAAAACTCATCTGAATTCATTCAGCCTTTAAATTACTCACTATAAAAACTAAATCTTTATTTTTACCTAACATGATCAAAATTTGTGTAGTCACCTGAAAAGATGCCCTCGAAACCCCATCACTTAATTGTAGCGGAAGTGCTGTGAGAGAGAGAGAGCAAGAGAGGGAGGAAGAGAATGTGCTGTACAAGAATTCTCACTCAGTTTGACAGAAAAATATTTTTAGGTCCATGAAAGACAACTACAATGGTCATAAGATTAAAAACAAAACAGGGGGCTGGAGTGATAGCACAGCGGGTAGGGCGTTTGCCTTGCACGTGGCAGACTTGGGTTCAATTCCCAGCATCCCATGTGGTCTCCTGAGCACCGCCAAGAGTTAATTCCTGAGTGCATAAGCCAGGAGTAACCCCTGTGCATCGCCGTGTGACCCAAAAAGCAATAAAATAAAATAAAATTATGCATTCAAAACATTTTTTTAAAGACAAAATTTGCTGCAATGTGATGGATCTGGAGAGTACCATGTTGACTAAAATTAGTCAGAGGGAGAGAAGGCTCAGAATGATCTCTCTCCTATGTGAGATATAAAGAAACCACCAGTGTAGTGATCATAAGATCTTAAACTTGAAACATTAATAATAAAGATGGGACAAGGACGTTTGCCTTTCATGTGACCAACCCAGGCCTGATTCCTGTCATCCCATATAGTCCCCCAAGCACCTCCAAGAATAATTCCCGGGACCATATGTGGTTCTGGGGATTGAGCCTGGGTCAGCTGTGTATAAAGTAAGTGTCCTATCTGCTGTATACTATAGCTCCAGCCACAAAACTTTTACTTCTAATATCTGGTCTCTTGATTCTTTTTGCTTAAGGTCTGAAAAGAGCGATTTTTATTTTTTTTTTATTTATTTTTTTTTCTTTTTTTTATTAGTGAAAAACCATGAGGTACAGTTATAGGCTTACAAATTTTGTGCTTGGGTTTCAGTTATACAATGATCAAGTCCCCATACCTCCACCAGTGCCCGTCATCCATCCCCATGGGTCCCAGCATCCCCCCCACCCTCATTCCCCCCCCCCCCCCCCCCCCCCGGTCCCATCCTGCCTCTGTGGCAGGGTATTCCCCCTTGTTCTCTCTCTCTTCTTTTGGGTACTGTGTTTTGCAAGAGAGGCTTTGCGTGGCAATCATGTTTGGTCTATCGACTACTTTTAGCATGCTTCTCCCACCCTGGGAGGGCCCTCACAACACCCTTCATTTGGTACTCTCTTCTCTATCTGAGCTTCCTTTTCACCTAGAGCCTGTGGCTGGCCTTCCATTCATGGAGCAAAATTCCTGGTACTAATCTCAGCCATTCCTGTGTGTCACTCTCCCTTTTTGTTGCTTTATGTTCCCCAGATGAATGCAATCTTTCTGTGTCTATCCCGCTTGAAAAGAGCGATTTTTAAATTACATATTTTACATACTGCATTAATAAAGCAAGTTAAAGTACTTCCCCAAAAGCCTATAAAAGTTTGTAAAACGAGGGTCTTGATTTTGGAACAAAATGTAAAATATGCATCGTAATGGCCAATTTGCATAAATTTGACATAATTTCAAACAACTCAAATCTGAAAGTATGCAACAAAATAAAAGATTATACTTACAACTAAATCATCTGTTACTTTAATACACAAACTCCCATCAGAGTGCCTATATTTGAGAACCACACGGGCCTGAAATTAAAAAAAAAGAAAAATTAAAAAAAAAAAACCCACATATTTAGAAACAAGAAGCTGGAGACACTCCTCATAATAGTTCAGTCTAAAAATGATTTTGAGAATAGTCAAAATATCTAAAGGCATCTTTACTATAAGCATATGATTGGAATAAAGCAGGAAACAACAATTTAATTCATTCCTATTAATACATTTATTTTAAAGAAATTTTAAATAAGCTAGATATTTTATTTACAGTCACTCTGATGAGATATACACCCTATATTACTGATACTCACCCACATTTGGGGAATATCTGAGGCTCTTAAGGTGATTTGGCAAGTCTCACCAGTAACAATAAAAACTAAAGGGGACAAGTATGCTACCCCAAAAAAACCACCTTGATATAAAGGATTGTTCTGAGGGGATGAGAGAAAAAGCTCACACTTTGCACACAGGAGGCTCAAGTTCGGTCTCCAGTGCTACATGAGTCCCTGTTCACTGCCAAACCTCAAACAAGGGGCTGGAATAATAGTACAACGGGTAGGGCATTTGCCCTGCATGAGGCTGACCCAGATTTGATCCCCAGCATCCCATATGGTCCCCAGAGCACTGCCAGGAGTAATTTCTGAGTGCAGAGCCACGGAAAAACCCCTGAGCATCGATGGGTGTGACCAAAAGAACTGTTATAACTATTGACCATCTGCCCTTTCAAGGCTAAAACAGGACATAAATAAAGCTTTGTGAAGGAGACAGTGCTACAGTGCTAATTTATAGTTTCCTTCCCACAACTTAACCCCACCCACCTACCAGAAGTCCCACACTCCTCTCTATTTTGTTTTGTGCCACACTCATGGTGCTAAGCATTTACTCTTGACTCTGTGCTTAAGGATCACTCCTGATGGGCCCTGGGGATCAAATGAGGTGTTAGGGATCTAAGCCAGGTCAGCCACATGCAAGCCAAGTACCTTAGCCCTGTACTCTCTCCAGAGCAGCTCCCCACAGACCCTTTTATGCAGCCTCTTTCCTGCATAAGATAACCCTTTGTCTGTTATTGAAGGGTCCATACCCAGCAGTGCTCAGGTCTGTTCCCTGAGCGATCCCTGAGCACAGAGCCAGGAGTAAGTCCTGAGCACTCCGGGTATGGCCCCAAGACTGAAAAAAGCAGTACTCAGGGCTCCGTCCATGCTCAGGAATCACTCTGGAGGGCAGGGATACCATATGTGATGCAGGAGGCTGAACCCTGGTCAGCTGCATGGAAATAAGTACTCTACCTGTACTAATCTCTGCCCACTAATCACCCCTTGGTAAGAAGGTCCTAACTTGAGCCCCCTTGGAAACACAATTCTTTGGGAATTGTCAAGTTTGGGCATATGATTGCTTTCTAAATTCCTCCTGCTGATTTGTCTTCTGTCGGGTTAATTTGCAGGGAATCAGATATATACTCTTGCATTAAAGGAGGCTTTTCCCACTTTCCAGTAGCAACACACCTGCCATAGAGAAATGAAAGGAAAAGCAAAGAAAAAACAGCTAGTTAAGTCCAGATCCTTTCCTCAGGAAACAGTGATACAAAGTTGAGCACTGCCACCTTCCCCAACTTTTAGGAGGCTTGTGCAAACTCAAGCACTCAGCAAGATTATGTACTTACTATAATGGCATAAGATGCATTATTACCTAGAAGCAGAACTGTCTTGGAAGAAAGTCTTGGGGCCAGAGTAATAGTACAGCAGGGAGGGCATTTGCCTTGCATGCTGCCAACCTAGGTTCAATCCCTGGCATCCCATATTGACCCCTGAGCATGGCCAGGTGCTCCTGAGTGCACAGCTAGGAGTAACCCCTGAGCATAGCCAGGTGTGACTACCCCCGCCACAAAGAAAAGAAAATCTTCATCAACAATTTTTCCAAAAATTGGATTAAACCTTGTATTTTACTGCATGCCATGTTCAAATTTCTAGAGGTAGGCAGTCAAGAAAATGATTCAGGTAGTAGCATATTTCAATGAAAGAAACTAACTCCCAATAAACTTTACATCTTCTGAAGCAAGAAGCACTTGCCTTGCATGTGGCCGACCTGGGTTGATCCCTGGCACCCCATATGGTTCCCTGAGCCTGCCATGAGCGATCCCTGAGCGATCCCTGAGCACAGAGCCAGGAGTAAGTCCTGAGCACTCTGGGTATGGCCCACAAACTGAAAAAAGAAGATAGATGTACAGAGAACTAGATTCAAATTTTAGCTTTGAGACTAAGCAAATCACTTAATGCACCTGATTATTCACCTACCTTGTGAAGCAGTTGTAACTGTTTACAAAACACAAATATGTATGATGGAAAATGTCTGCACATAGAAGGCACCCAATAAAACTGCTAAGACAAGTGCCCACCCCCTGCAGATTTCATAAGGACACAGAAAAATTCACACACCTAGGATTTTCTCACTGGGTCAAGAGCTGAAATGTTTTCACTGTGCTAATGTTCTAGACATGTTCTGTTTACCACTATACTCTGTGATTACCATTTTCCTTTCATCTTTACTATAAAATCTGTCTCAAAACATGATTACTCTTGATATGAATTTACTTATTCTTCGCCATCTCTTAAAATATTTCTTAAATATCTGAAGGAATAATTGGAAGGATGTTTTTCAGAACTGTGATGAAAATGTTCCACAGTGTTCTCATGATAACACTGTTTGAATGAATGAAGAAACAAATGGCCCCAGGAACAAGGGAAGTCAATCAAATGGAGGAGGCAGAAGGCATGTGTTTGTCATAAGTGTTCGATTTCCAAAGCATCTGATTCATTTATTGCTACATCATTTTGCTGTAAAGAATAGAACCAAAAATATTTTGGAGTCTTATTACTTATCCAGAAACAAAGTTAGAGGATTTTTAATTAACAAGGAGTTGGTTCATTTTTTAGATATAACAGTAAAGAATAAAAAAAAAACACTGGGGGGTGGGGGAGGAGGATCAAGACCCAAATCACTGGGATTCCTTTACTTTTAATGAACTTGAGCCCCCTCCCCCTCCTCACCCCCCCCCCCCCAATCCACTTCAACATATTCTTGTGAGAACCACGAGAACACATTTCAGGGATCCAGGGACCCTCTAAAACTGTGTGCAAACATTTCAGTAGAAGTGCCATTTTGCAGAAAAAAAGCATGCAACCCTCGTTTCTGCTCACATCTGTCATATTCTCTAAACCTTGTCATGAAAAACTAAGAAGAAACACCATTCTCAGGCGTGTGGATGCCACCAAATTTTTTTTCCTCTTAAAAAAAATGTCTCAGAGGCGACAAAGAAAAAATTAACACCGTTTTATTTTACACGACGTTTCGCCCTGTCAGTACGGAAAAAAGAGAAAACTTGGCACCAGGACAAGTGAGGGGCACGAGGCTAAAGGAGCAGGGGGAGGAGCCCTGGTTTAGAGACACGTAAACCCACGAAAAGCACCAAGGGAGGTTCGGGATTGGGGGCGGAGGACTATGGAGCTGCTTCGGGCACGGAAATGACACCGATTTCCAACGATTTCAGGGCCTCAAACTATTAGGGAACTGCAGTCAGTATCCTGAGACCTGGAGGGGGCTGTCTCCGTCCATGCCCATCCTTCTCGGGTGTGGGTCTCGCTCCGGAGGCCGAGCGGATGCCAGGGAACGCTTCCGGACCCGGAGCCCCAGCCCAGCCGGCAACTCACCTTCATAGGGTCCGAGAGATAGAGCTTCTCCGCCGCGCGACTGAACTCCTCCCACGTCTGGTACTGCGGCATGGTGGTCAGCAGCAGGACAGGAGTGGGCGGCAAGGCCGGGACCCCGAAGGTACGACCCGGCCCACCTGCCTCCCTACCTCCCGCAGCCACCTACCGCTGCCAGGATTCCAGCCGCTAAAGATGGTGGCGCCTCCTCGCACCAACGCCACGTTTCATTGGATGTCCCCGACATCTCTCGCCCAATAGAAAGAAGGGTTGTTGCCAGTGGGGCGGAGCCCTGAGACTGTCGCTCTGGGCGCCAACCCAAAGCAATAGAGAGCAGGAGGACAAAGAGCGGCTGCTACAGCGCCCCCTGTAGGACTGGAGTAGAGACGGATTTCTAACCCGCTGCACTGTAGCTCGGAAAGTGCAGGTTCTTTTCACAAAGATTGAATGGCTCAGTGATGAGAACTGGCGAGAAAGAACGGAGACACTAGGGTTTAGCTGTCACATCCAGTAAAGTGGGATAGACATACACATAAGATTGCAACCGAAAACTTTATGCGATCGTTAATGTCGGGTCAGTTGAGCACAAGGGGAAAATAGTCACTTGTGATCACAATAGACAAAAATAATGACAGCACAAGTAAAACCTTTATAAATATATCATGTTCAACAGATCGATCAGAACGACAGAAGATCAGGGCCCATTTTATTTATTTATGTTTATCTATTTATTTATTTACTTTTTGGGTCACACCCTGAGATGTTCAGGGGTTACTCCTGGCTCTGCACTCAGGAATCACTTCTGGCGGTGCTTGGGGACCATATGGGTTGCTGGGAATCGAACCAGGGTCAGTCACGTGCAAGGCAAAGCTGTGTTATTGCTTCAGCCCCTAATTATTTTTATTGAATCAAGTGTCACCATGAGATACAGTTACAAAACTTTAGTGATTGAGTTTCAGTCATACAATGTTCCAACATCCAACCCTCCACTAGTGTGTATTTCCTACCATCAATTTCCCTGGAAGCCTCCTGCCACCCCTCCAACCCCCCATCCTACCTCTGTGTACTTTTTTAGGGTGATTTTTCCCCCATTGATCTTGTTTTGGAGTCACACTTGGCAGTGCTCAGGGGCTACTCCCAGTGGGCTACTCTCAGGGGACTATGCAGTGGGACCAAGCCAGGCCTCCTGCATGAAAAGTATGAACCATCTTCCTTGCCCTAACGAGTGTTATTTTTCTCTTTGTTTTGCTTTTGGACCACTCCAGTGGTGCTCAGTGGTTACTCCTGGGTCTGTTCTGTGCTCAGGGATCACACCTGGCAGGCTCAGGGAACTGTATGGGTGTAGGGGATTGAACCTAAATCGGCCGCATGAAAGGCAAGAGCCCTACCCACTGCACTATCGCTCCAACCCGAAGGGTGTTATTATTTTTTTTTAAAGATAGAATGTCTAAGTTCTCTTTACAACTGTCAGAGAAGAAATCAGAGGGGATGAAGAGAAGTTTCTTCACTAGTGTTATGGCTGCAGTGTGCAGGAAGCAGTAGGAATTTAGCAAGTTCTGAAACCATGGATGGTGTGTTTTGGCAGATTTCCATTGTGGCAGGTGTTCTAACCATGGTTATGTTGAACAGTAATTGCTTTGGCTATGGTTTGTCCTAGTGTGATGGCTGCATTGTGAGGGCAGGCTTTGGGATGTATGAGGTCATGAACGCTGTGGACAGGCTGATATTGGACGACATGTCATTCATTTGAGAATCATATCTTGGTGGAGAGTAGATGGAGGTTTGACTGCACAGGTGAGAGAGTAATGGATGGGGCGTGTAAGCAGAAATTCAACTGTAGTGGAGGATAGAGCCATGTGATGAGTGTACAGGAAGGGATCAGACATAATGGATCATACATAGAACAAATGCTGGGTCCTTCACGAGAGATGTGACTGTAGTGGGAGAAAGAGTCATGGTTGAGGTGTGCAGGAAAGGTGTGACTAGCAGTTAATATAGAAATGATAGCGTTTGTAGACAGAGGTCAGAATGTGAGATAGCAGCTGGGGTGCATGCTTTTCATAGGACGGGGGTGCTGGGTTCCATTCCTGGTATCCCATGGTCCACTGAGCACCCTTGGGAGTGGCCCTGGGCATCACCAGGTGTGGTCCCAATTGTTGAGGCAGGGAGAAGTCTGGTAAAGTGACTAAAAGCCAGAGAAGGAGGAAGCAAGGTCTTAGGGAAGCAAAAAAAAAAAAAAAAAAAAAAAAAAGGAGGGTCAAAGGCCCAGTTGAATGAAAACTGGAGAGGAGTCACAAGTGTCTTTGAGGTGGTGGGGAAGGAGGAAAAAGTGGATCAGTTTATATATCCATACCCCAAATTATGCATTCTTTGAATAGTTTTATAATAGTAATTGTTTATTACTATATTCTTGCCTACTATGCGTCACCCCAAGATATATGACACAAACACACATATGTAATACTTATAAGTTAAAATACTTTGTAATTTGTAAGTACTTACAAATTAAATCGTATTTAATTCCCAAATAGGAGATGTGGAGCATGTGACTGACAGCAGTGAAGTTCAAATTTGCATGGTGGCAGACTTTAAAAATAAAAATCACCTCTGGTTAACTCAGGTCTAGAACTTTTTCTGCTTTCATCAATTGCTTTACAAAAGTAAAGACATTAAACCAATATATAAAGGTCAGTCCCTATACCCTTTTTAAAAGATATAAGAAATAGCACATATTCTAAGAAAATCCAAGTAAAGGTCAGATGCGTGACTTTCCTGTTTTTCTGATGAATTCATTCCAGGTGTGCTTTTTTTATTTTTCAGATTCTGGAAAGACCGAAATGAATACAAAAGAAAAAATACTCAATTTGTGGTGGGAATTTTCTTTGATTTTGCTAAATATAAGCCATGCACCATTTAATTTTGTTTCATGTTTGGATATTCAATTCAACTGAGCTTTTCCTCACAGTGACAATTCTCTACTCCCCATTATCATGTCAATCGATTCTTTATTACATATCTCCCAGTACTATTGTTCCTTTGAAATATGAGTCTAAGACAGATTCCAATATACTCATGTGGTAGAAATAAACCATTTGTTTTTAAATGCAAAAAAAAAGAGGGAAAAAAAGTGAGTTAGTAGACACAGAGCAAGAAAGTCCCTTTTCTTAGTCACACAGAGGTAAGGCCATCTTTCAAGATAGCCAGGGTAGGTTTGGAGCCCTGAAGGACGTTTTGGAAGTAAAACCATCTGAGAAAGGAGTGAGGAAGCAAAACTGAAACTCAAGAAGAGTCTGTCAAGCAGAACTGCAAACCTGACTGAAATTGGTGACCAGGTTCTGGGAATAACACCAGTTCCTACATTTTTGGGCCTGTTCTTCAATATCATCCAAAGCTTGGGTCTTGTAATGGAAAAGTCAGAGAGCCGGGATTTGGCAGAAGGACGAAGGCCAGAAATGTGGACAAAAGTGAAAAATAGAATGTTGAAGTGATAAATCCTGGAACCAGGCTAGGTAGGCAGGTGAAAGGGCAGGGGTTAAAGACTGACTCTCAAAGAAATCTGGAGATAATATAAGAGGGAAGCAGAGTTAAAGTTATGGGTAGAGTAGATTTGGGGACTTAACATTTCAGAGAAGCAATAGTTTCTGGTGAGGATGAATTGTTTTCACAAGTACTCAAGGCAGGGGCTAGAGAGACAGTACAGGCACTTGACTTGCCCGTGGCTTCTTCTGCTCAGCTTCTGTACCACAAATGGTTCCCTGAGTATCAGTAGTGGTTACTCCTGAGCGTAACAGTCCCTGAATACTATACTAGGTATGTTATAATCCTCCTCCCAAATAAACAAAGTAAAGAAGGAAAGAAAGCAGTAAGAGTTATGGTAATACCAACATTGCCTTCTGCCATCATGAGGAACATAGAGGCAATTCAGCAAACACATATCAGAGAGCTCTAGTAGGCCTTGGAGCGCTGACAACGAGCAAGACAGATATGTGGCCTGACCTGCAGAACTCCCAGATTAGCAGGAAGGGGGGCAGTAAATAAGAGACTTTCAGGTCCAGGGAGCTAGCTCGAGGGGTAGAGCTTAGCATGTGTGAGGCCCTGAGTTTGATCCCTGGTCCTAGATACCTTGCTCCCAGATCTGCCTCATGTAACCCTGGTGTCCTCTGAACAAAGAACCCTGAGGCTCATACCTGCAGGCTGTATCTTGGGAGGTTATTAAGTTATTTTTCTGTGATGTACATAGTGCAGTCTCTGCAACCAATACACGTGAGACCCATGTAGTGTTATAAATCAATGTTATTTCATTAAAAAATCTGTCACTGTCACTGTCCTCCCATTGTTCATCAATTTGCTCGAGCAGGTCCAGTAACATCTCCATTGTGACAATTGTTACTGTGTTTGGCATATCGAATACGTCACGGGGAGCTTGCCAGGCTTTGCCATGCGGGCAAGATACTCTTGGTAGCTTGCCTGGCTCTACGAGAGGGGCAGAGGAATTGAACTTGGGTCGGCCATGTTGGCCGCTTGCAAGGCAAACGCCCTACCTGCTGTACTATCGTGCTATCGCTCCAGCCCATTAAAGAATAACCATTCAAAAAAATGGTTATTCTTTCCAGCTGTGGAGAAATGACTTCTGAAAGCCTTCTGAGTACATTGTTTACAAATTTCTTGTACACACAGTGGCGGAAGGAAAAATTCCCTTCCCCTCAGTCAAGATAGCAGGGCTTCTGCACCTCTGCAGTCGTTCCTTTTCACCAACATATTTCATTTGAGTCTCAAAATAATTCTCGTGGTGGGGCAGGGTAGGCACCACATCACAATTCTGGAACTCTGAAAAGCTCTAAAAACACCCCAAAAGTCTCTCAGTAATTCCTTTAGTGGGAGACCTGATTGACTGCTCATGGGCTGTCGATGGTTTTATTTCTCCATGTGATGCACTTGATGTCAGGCAGAAGTCAGGACTCTTAAGACACCTGCGTGTCACCATATTAGCTTTCTAACTCTCAACAAACTCACTTCCAGAACACAGGTGGCCTCCTAGATTCTAAATAAGTGACTGTGGGCCTGTGCAAGCTCCCTTATGAGCCTGACACAAGAGAGAGCTCATGGATTTTGCTCTTCATTGTCCCACAAGTGGTAAGCCACTGTTCCACACAAGAGGCTGTGACTTTGAGAGAATGTAACTAACGGGTGGGAGAGACTCAACAGGGCTGGCATTTGCCTTGCATGCGGCCGACTCCAGTTCAATCTTGGCACTACATATAGTCCCCTGAGCACCGCCAGGATTCTCTCTCAGTACAGAACCAGGAGTAACCCCTGAGCACTAGCCAGTGTGGACCAAAAAACATGTGGAGAAAGGAACTGTCATGACTGAAGCTAGAGGACTGGAGTACAGCTGGGTACAGAGTGAAAAGCAGAGCCCTTGTTAACCCTGGCGGTACTTGAGAGATCAAGATGGTGCTTGGGATTGAACCGAAGGCACCAGGATTGAGCCCTGGGCTTCTTCGTGCAAAACAAGTGCTCCAAACTGTTGAGCTATTACTTCAGCCAGCAGCTTCTTTTGTTTTTGGACTACACCCAGTGGTGCTCGGCAACTACTCCCAACTGGTGCTCAGGGATCACTCCTGCTGGTGCTCTACGGTCCATGCAGAGGACTCAGACCTGAGCTTCCCACCTGTAAAGCTCATGCTCAGTCTGCTAGTTATTCCCCTGGGCCTGAAACTGCCTTCTTTGACAATAACCACCATGCTGCTATTCTCTCTCTCTCTCTTTCTCTCTCTCTCTCTCTTTCTCTCGCTTGCTGGCTCTCCCTCTTGCTCTCTCTCTCTCTCTCTCTCTCTCTCTCTCTCTCTCTCTCTCTCTGCCTGGCTCCCCAGTCCTCTCTAAGCTAGATAGTTTAGTTTTATTGAGGCCACTAGCTGTGTGCTCTTTCACTGACTTTTGGCTAATGTGACACTATTCTCTGTTCCTTCTGCTTCTCCTGTCCTGGCCTACTCTGCTCTCTGGTGCTTCAGCATTGGGTTCCAAACTTCCAGGTTTTTATTTCACCATGGAGCAATGTTTCCAAAACTGGGCAATACTGGCTCTGGTGAAGGAGCACTGGAGTGATCCAGGGGGTGCATTGGTGGCCTTGAGTGACGTTGAAGGGGAGGTGGGTGGCTTTCTGTTTGTTCACTTTAAGATCGTAGATTTTATTTTTAATTTTTTAAAAGTGATTTTATTTTTTCTGGAGATTAAAATTTATATGACTTATTTTTTTCATAGTCATAAATTTCCTACTACCTTTTCTATGTAATGTGCATTTATTTATTTATTTGGTAACTTTTTTTCAAAGTTGTTCATGATGATTTGTTACAGACTTTCAATATTCCAACACCAATAGCCCCATAAGATGGTAGATTTTTAAGGGAGCGCTTAGACTTTTTTCTTTTGAAAAGGGGGGTGTGGTAGGTTACGTAAGTTTGAGAGTTTCTGCTCACATTGTGATTCTCCTTGATTTCTGCTCAGTTTAGCTTCTTCCCAGAGTTCACATATATTCATGTAAACACTCACCAAAGGCAGGGCTAACGCCGGTGTTAATTGTGGCACGTGAAAACAGCAAACTGAAGCCAGTTGTAAGTAATAAATACAATGTCTCTATTAATTTTTTTAAGTTTCTTTGACTTATTTTAGTACTGCCATTGCAAATTATTTGTCATTCACATAACAATTCTGACTGCCAGGGATTCTATACTTTCTAGAGGGTTTACAGGCCAGAGTCAGGCAGGGCAAGTGGCCTCTAAGCTGATGAGGTCAGGGACAGAGATAACGGGGCATATCTGCAAACTCCTGTACCTACAGCATAAGTCAGAGACACAAACCCACCAGGGTTGGCTGCCACCTGCTTCCTCCCCTCTTCCTCTCATCTCCAGACTAGACAGGTGGGTAATTCACTGTGTTTAAGTAGAAATGACTTGATATTTTTTCATTCTTCTGGAAGCTCTTCTCGCCCTTTGCCCCATTTGTCTGGTAAAAACTGCCTTGCCGTTGCTGTTCTCCACAAAGAGCAGTTGTTGGTTCTTACCTGGGTTCCTTGTCAACAACCGTCAGATCATCACACCTGAGCGGGTGCTGTCTGGGGGCCAGAAACAAGTGTCACCCCGTGGAATGTCACCCTGCTCTACGCCAGGAATTAAAGATGCTGCCGGTTTCACGGAGTCGATGTGAAACAGTCGTGGAGGGAAACGAACCAAGAAACCGGTTTGCCTAGCAGCTGCTTGCCTAGTGGCCGGAAGCCTCAGGTGCCTGGTGCAGGCGGGCTGGGGCTGCGTCGCGCGTGTCCAGTGGAGGGCAGTGGTGCGCACTCACAGCCCCGACTCTTGCTCTCGCCTCCAGCTCTGCCGGGAGGGCGGTTGGGGTGTTTGGTGACCTTTTGCTCAGTCTCAACTGCATTCCAGAGTGCCGGGGGCTTTCTTTGATGGCCAGTTTAACTCATCGATCGCTTATCTAAGCTCCTTGTCCATGCGCTTCTCCTTACTCAGCGTGTTCCAGTGAAGACAAAGCCAGGCCCAGTGAGCGTCTGGTTCCCGGTCAGGCCCCTTTACAGCTAATCAGAGCTGAAGACAGAATTCTCGAGGGAGCTAAGTGCACTGGGGAAACCATGCAGATCCGAGCAGCCCTGCCCGCCCAGGTGTTGGGGTTTTCAGAAGGCGGGGACTTGGGGGGACAGGCTAGAAAAGGAAAAACAAGAGAATAGAAGGCAGGAAGATATGGAATACCAAAACCTGTTCTCTGCACATTTTCTGTGAGAGCCTCCCTGAGATCTGACCCCCAGGAGCAGTTCAGATTCTGGATTGTTTGAGCCAGGCAATGGGGAGCAGGAGAGAGGCAAGGGCCAAGGTGGAGATGGAAATCCCCCTCAGCAATAAAACCTCTTTCAGAGACATAAGGGTGTAGTGGGGTGGCAGCCTTGTTCCCTTCTCCCCAGCCAAGGGCCCCCCACGAGTCTTCCAGGATGCTGTCTCCTGTCCCAAGTACACCCTATTCCAAGAACGCTGACATTTCCATACTTTGGGCAGGTAATAATCCCTTTAAAGTGAAACAGATTTTCAAGCACAACACACCTTAAAAAACAATAGGAGAGGGAAAAAAAAGTTTTGTTTATTACAAGGGTGTTGAGAGAGATTGACTCCAGCTCCCATCAAGTCTTGGGGATCTGAAAGGCCACCCCCATACTGCCCCTCTGGGGTGGGGGTTGAGGTCAGACTAGGTCAGATGCTGCCCAAACCCAGCTGGCTGGCCTCTGGCTGTTGGAGAGACCAGCAGCCACAGGCTATGGGGCTGAGGGGGCAGACAACCAAATTCCAGAAGCTCCTGACTTGTCAGTCTCATCTGAAACTGATTAAATGAAATGCAAACCCGAGTAGCTGGTTAGAAAAGGTCAGAATTTTTTACCCTCGCCCCCCAGTTGCCAGTGCGCAGCTCCCTGGCCTACGTCCCCATCACCTCTCAGATTTCCTCCTCACCCCCGGCAGCCCGAAGTGCCCAGAAACCTTAGAGAATGGCCCCATTGTCGATGAAACAAACCAAAATAGCAGCATCTTCTGTTCTCTGCCTCAGGGAAACTGACTTCAAGCCCCAAAGTCCCAGAGGTGGACCACAATGGAAGTTGTTGTTGTATATTAGCCATCCCGGAGCGGAGGAGAGGCAGGTAAGTCGGAATAGGGCCAGTGCGGAGGGTTGGGCTGTGCGGAGAACAATTACACAGTCACTCCATTAACCCAATTAGCGATCGCTGGCAGGCATTCTGCTCACCCCAGAGCAGCCTGGTGGAGAGGTGGGAAAGTGGGGGCGGGGATGAGTGTGGGGCTCTCCTCTGGGACAAAAAGCCCTGAATGGAATCAAACTTCAGTTATTTCTAGGCTGCTAGAGAGGTTATTTTTATCACTTTTTAAATGTTCTGAATCTTCTTTTTTCCTTTCTAAACCATGCCCCAGAGCACTTGGATGAATGGTGTTTGTGTTAATTAATAAATCCGATGACATCTCCACTCAGCAGCTGGCTCTCCAGTGGGAACTCTCTGGGTGGCCTGGGGAATGGGGACTGCAGAGTCAGGATGCATCACAGTTGTCACGTCCTCAGTCTTCCCATCCAACCAGTCAATCAGCATAGCCTATCACATTCCGAGGCATCTACCTGTCCTCGATGGGCTAGAGTGAGGTTCCCTTCCCCAACTCTGAGCACAGGCTCCTGGCCGGTAGGCATCAGGAGAAGTGATACAGAGGGGCACTGGCCTTTGCTTTATTTTGCTGTTGTTGTTTGTGCGGAATTGAGGGGAGTGAACCTAGGTCTCATGCATGCAAAGCATACACTTTGGCATCTAGTCACATCCCCAGGCTGGATTTTGTTTTGTTTTGTTTTGTTTTTAAATGAAACCAAGTTAAATTTCTTTGGGGTAGAGGTGGGAAGGAACCTCCCAAGTGGGCCTCTCCCAAGAATTCTCAGCCAACTGGCCCGAGGGCTTAAGGATGTGGTTCTGCTGGGGCCCTCTGGAGCTGGGGATGGCCTGGGCCACCCTCGAGGTGCTTAGGGGATTCCAGGGCCACGCCTGGTAGTGTTCAAAGGTTCTCCTGGCGAAGCTCAGAGAATGCGTGATGCCAGGGACAGAGGCAGTGTTAGTCATAGCACCTGTACTAGCTCTCTGACCCTGGATCTTGAAGATAAAAGTCAAATTATGCTTGCATGCCTGGTGGCCCTGGGTTTGATCCTTGGTATCATTGTCAGCCTTCTCTCTCCACCTCCCTCTCCTCAACAAAGAACCACCCCCCTGCACACCAGAAGGTGTGGGCAAAGACACAGAAATAGCTTTTAGGGAGCATGAGTAGCCAACCTATGGGTGGAAGGGTGAGGGGGAATCCTGGAACTAGGGTGGTCTTATTGTGACTGGTTGGCAAAGAGGCATTGTTGCTGTTGGTGACACAGGAACCAGTCAGGGAAGTTCTTTCCCATTCCTTGACTCCATTCTTTATAGAGGGCACAGCATGCGGGATGGGCCTGAAGCTTAGTGTGGCCCCTGGGCCAGAGGAAGCAGGACACACATAGGAATGTTCTTCCGGGTGAGGGGGAAACGAAAGCTACCAAGGGGCCCGAGTGATAGTACAGCAGGGAGGGTGCTTGCCTTGCACATGGTCGACCTGGGTTTGATCTCTGGCATCCCATAGGGTCCCCGTAGAACTGCCAGGAGTGATTCCTGAGGGGAGAGTCAGGAGTAACCCCTGAGCATCACCGGGTGTGGTCCCAATACTAAAACAAAAACCAAGAAGGAGAGCTACTGAGCCCAGAGTGCAGGGCAGCTGGGAGGACAGAGGGGATGACAAGGCCAGGCTAGGGACAATGGCCACTGATGGGGCTGGGCGCTGCCCAGTCCTTCCCCTGCAGTCTGTGAGCTTCCTCCCAGCTCTCCTGCCTCTCACCCCGTTATCACTTTCCCCAGGCCTCATTATACTCTCACCTGTTTCTCTCCTTTGCTCCTCTTCCCTTCTCACCTTCTCCAGCTTTCCAGCCTGTGTGAACTGGAGAGAGTAAAATACCCGAGACCCGAGTTTTTGTGTCCGGCACAAGGACAAGGTGTAACGTGTCTAGTGTGAGCAGAGGCAGCCCCGTGACTGGTTGTCGAGTCTCCTGCTGAGTGCCCTGCCCTCGTCCTGTCTTCTGGGCAGGGGCTGGGAGGGCAAGGCCCTTTGTCACCACACACCTCAGACAGTTAAGCTTGGTAAATATTTGCTGGTAAGCAGCATGTTGACATATGGAGACACTATTCCCTCCCCAGAGCTTTTAGACAATGTCTTCTTTAGTCACTGACCAGTGGCATTTTTCTTTCCCTCCTGTCGCCGTCTAAGGTGTATGTATTGGAGATCAGTTAGGCTGACGTAACGCTGGGGTGTGGACTGGGAAACATGGCCATCTCGGCTTCTGAGCCTCCTTTCTCTAGGGTCTGGTCACTATTAGTCTATGGAGTCACCTTCCTTCTATTCCACCTGGAAACCAGCCCAGCCCCCAGAAGGTCCTACTGGCACAAGCTTGGGACGTGCCTGTGTGGATCTGAGGGTATTCTGTACTTACTCTGCACCCCACCAACAGTACCTGACTGTTCTCAAAACTCCATGCCAGCATCACCCCAGTTGCTTCCTGAGTTTCATAACTGCCCGGGGAACTGTGCCTGGGCCTTTTTCCTGGCACCACACAGTGGATGGAGTGTGGTTGGGAGCTTTGGAGAGTGAATCAACATGAAGGCATCAGAGAGGTCTGAGAAGGCCCCAGCAGCCTTCCAGGGCTGTTACCTCTTCTCTGAGGCAGAGACTCACCAGGGAGCAGAGGAAAGAGAGAGAGAGAGAGAGAGAGAGAGAGAGAGAGAGAGAGAGAGAGAGGCAGAGCCTGTAAGACAGCAGCAGAGTGGCACCTAGAGAATTCCAGCTCTTTCCAGTTCTCTCCTCAGAGCCCACTCCCCTCAGAGCCCCCTGCCCTCAGAGCCCCCCTTACCTCAGAGACCTTCTTCCCTCAGGGGCCTCTTCCTCACAGAACCCTCCCCGCAGAGTCTCCCTTCCCTTAGAGACCCCCGTTCTCTCAGAGTCTCTCCCCTAAAAGACTTCCTTCTCTCAGAATTCTCCTTCCCCTCAGAGCCTCCTTCCCTCAGATCCCCTCCTTTTGGACACCCTCCCTTCAGAGTGCCCCTCAGAGTCCTCTCCCCTCAGAGCTTCCTCTTTTCAGAGCTTCCTCCACTCAGACCCCACTCCCATCCCAGACCCCTTCCTCTCAGAGCTCCCCTTTCTTCAGAGACCTCCTCCCCTCAGAAGCCCCCTCCCCTCAGTTATTCCTCCCTTAGGGGCCGCTTCTCCTCAAACCCCCCTCTCTCCTCAGACCCCCTCTCCTCAAATCCCCCTCTCCGCAGAGTCCCCTTTCCTCAGAGAATCCTCCTCTACCCAGGAAGCTTTCCAGGACCCTTTCAGAGAACTCCTGGCCTGCTAGAAACTGCTCAGCTATAAACAAGCCCAGACAGAAATGGCCTTGGAGTCTGCTGACCCGGAGCTCTCACTACAAGCTCTAACAGGACTTTCAGAAGCCTGTAACTTCCTGGGATGGGGGTGGCAATTAGGGCAGTGGATGCTGATGGTCATTGTGTCATGATCTGGAGCAGGTCCAGGGGAATGGCGCCTCCTTTTCACCTTTTCCAGATTCTGAGGCTATGGGACTCAGGGAAGGGATGACTTTGAAATTCCAACCTTAAACCCTTATGTCCTGTTTGAGGTGCTGGGAAGCCTTACAGCTGTCCCTGTGGGGCTGCAGAGCCTTCTCCTCACTGACTTGAGTCTTTGGGGGACCAGGGTGTTGGTGAAGCAACATTTTGGCAAGAGCTTTGACAGCAGCTGCCAAGAAGGAAGACTGAAGGCCAATAATTAGATCTGAACATTGGTTTGCTTTTTACCTTTTTTTTTTTTTTTTTTGCTTTTTGGGTCACACCCAGTGATGCTCAGGGGTTACTCCTGGCTCATGCATTCAGGAATTACTCCTGGCGGTGCTTAGGGGACCATATGGGATGCTGGAAATCGAACCTGGGTTGGACGTGTGCAAGGCAAACGCCCTGCCCACTGTGCTATCGCTCCAGCCTCTTGCTTTTTACTTTAAATGAGGATTAGTGATATGACTGAGAGAAGATGAGGAAGAAAGTTGTCTTCAGCACCAGTATGTAACTGACCCTGTGCAGTCTCACCCCTGGCTGAGAAACAACCCTCCCCAACCAACTGTGTCATTTTGCCCTCCAGTTCACGCTCTAAGTTCCTGCTTAGCTTGGGCCTTGGACTCTCAACAGAAGTGTGACCCGAGTGATAAACAAGACATGAATCCCCTGCTCTGGCTACTCCATGAAGAGAGCCTCGGAGGCCTCTTGCAAAGGACTTTGTTCAAGCCTTTGTCTCTGGGCAGCGCTGACTCATCATTTCCCCCAGATAAGTTTGCTCCCTGGGCAGTTTCCAGTGCCCTCCAGCTGGTCATTTCTCCAGACCAGATGGCTCATATTAGAGCTCCATTTGCAACTAGTCACCCTTTAGGGGGGTTGGGGAGGACATGCTCTGGATTTGTCCCAACCCGAGCATCTGACTTACCCGGATGTTCTGGAAAGTCCTCATCATTTGACTTTCCCTTGGCCTGTGAGCCCAGAAGCTTCAGGTTTGTTTTCAGATGGAGACACTCTTAATCCAGAGCCAAGTTACAGATGTGCCACCTGGGAGACTGAGTCAGAGTGGGGAGCCATCTCAAGGGTCTTCTGAGGGTCCAGGGTCCCACCCTGGTGAGTCCATACAGTGATGGAGTAAGGAAAAGCAGTGCAAGGAATTCATCAGAACTTTTGTTTGTTTGGTTTGGTTTTGGGCCAGTGATAACTCAGGGGTTACTACTGGCTCTGCACTCAGGAATCATCCCTGGTGGTGCTTAGAGAACCATATGGGATGCTGGGAATTGAACCCGGGTTGACCATGTGCAAGGCAAGGGCTTTACCTACTATACTATCACTTGGCCGCCAAACTCACAAGAGCTTGAACTCTAAGATTTCAGGGTAGATGCACCAAGTGGTTTCCCCTGGCAGTCCTCTTTTCCCAGTTTTTCCATGGGTTTATTCAGTAGACAATGACTGAGCTGCACTGTGTCAGACATGGTGCT